TATTTTTAGGAAATGATATAAATAGGGGTAAATTTTGAGTTTGTGAAAAAAAAGGGATAATACGAATTTAGGAATTTTTTTTTTAGTATTGTTAAACTAAGCATATATTTGTATTTATTTGTATTTATTTATTTATTTATTTATTTATTTATTTTATTACTAAAAGAGTAGTAGAACCGAGACTATTACAAATAAGAGAAAAAAGTGATTTCAATGAAAAAAACTTAAATCTAATATGCGTGTATAGTACTCCGTACTTCATCCCCTACGGGACCTCACTCTTCGGTCGATACTATTTGATAAAGTAGGACTACGCTAATTAATCAAATGGGACAATGATAAAGAGACGAACAAAAAATAAACACAAAAAGAATTCTAGTCAAATCACCCGTATTTTTCTTTTAACTATTAACTAGTTATTGTATGTAAATACTGTCATATACAAAATGGTGCATAAGTAATAGGTTCGTAATTATTTTTTAAGGAGTATAAATTTTTAAAAGATGATTAAGAATCTTTGTATTTATTTATATTATTAATAAAGTATTATTTTGTTAAACCTAAGGTGGCAACGTGATTTATCACGGGCTTAGGTCTTACACCGTCTTTGTCGATCAATTCGTTCTACCATTTAATCTGTCCCCGATGTCTTCTTGCATCGCGGAATCATATACGTATCACTTTCGTCGTTGAAATACATTAGAATGTATTTGAGTTTATTAATTTTAATATTTTATAACATATTCTTTAATGATTTCATGATCCTGTCTTTTTTTCATTTTTTTTTAATTTCTTTACTGCTTGCCAACTATATCTGTTTCTGATGTCGCTTGCAGTTAGCTAATATTCCCGTCCTTTCTTTGTTATCGAGATATTGAATCCACCACTCATATAGACAAGCTTTCCACATGTCCCGCATCTTTCAGACTTTCATAAATTTCTTCGTCTTTCCAATACCAATAAAAGATCATGTCACATGACACTTCGGAATAATGTTTATCCAGGAGTTGACGAAAGTAAAGTATTGAATTATATATAGATCACGTTATTCAAGGACTATCGGATCAAAATTAACTAATTACAAACAAAACAAGAATGTTTGATGATTGTGATATTTTTCATATAAAAGTTACAGAAAAAATTATTTTTAATCGAAACGAAAAAGAATATCTATTATAGTTTCACAAAATAAAAACACTTTTATAATAATAAATTCAATCTTCCAACTTGGAATATAATCTAATTTATTTAATACCTTAGAAAATTTGTATAAATAAATTTAAAAACATTCGTATTAGTCATTTTATATAGGATATCAAGGTTCTCGAGAATCGAGACATTGAAAGACTTTTCTAGAAAACTGAAGATTACATCTGTTGAAACAAGTAACATTCAATATATAGACGGAAACATGACAAAATACTATTTTTATTATATTATTTATTAATTAAATTTTTTTAACATCGGACCTTTAATCATATTAAAAGAAATGAATCAACTATCATACTATTCTATCATATGATTATACAGTACTTAACGTTAACGATAACGTAACTTTTAAAGAATCCGAAAGGAAATTGTGATTACGCCCGTTCTTATTATTGAATTCAGTTGTACAGGTATTATAAAGTAGTATATTCACTTAAATATAACAATAATCGATTTCTAATATTGTAAATACTTTATTATGACAACATTAAATGTAATTGCAGAGCAAAAGAACGATCATCATAGTATTCTTTTAGTTAAGTTTAAACAAACGGGAAGATTACTACGGATTACCTTTACTGCAGTACTGTAGTTATGAAGAATAAGAAAATGATAATTAACGATGTTACATAAAGTTAAAAGAACTTGGCATCTATTCCGACAGAGTAATAATGTAATTTTCTTCACGCACGCAATTGTGATCGGAATATCATTGAAAATTTAACGAATTAAAGAGAAGTCTGATTGCTGAATCAGATAGACAATGGTGTTTACCTTAACTAAAAATGAATAAACTCGTTTCATATCATGTGAAAAAATATACAATATTATTTACAACTAATCCTTAGAAGATAAAAATAAATTATTCATATTAAGAAAAGAAAAAAAATTGACAAGGTACGAAAATGTCGAGTCAATATAACGTAAAAATTAGTACTTCATTACCGTGCTATTTTTTTATCTCATTATACAAACATTACTATCAATATATTTTATTTGATAATTAGCGCCTATTTATTAAAAATTTATTTATATATTACCAAATAAATATTTAATTAAGCTACTAAATTAAATAAATTTTTCATATATAAAAAGTTGTATAAATAAACAAAAGTATGATATATAATTATTGTTATGCTCTATTTATACTACGGTATATCATAAAATAAATAATAACTTATAAACTAATATAAAAAATATAAAATACTATTATTATTTTATAATATTATTATAATATTATCAATATTAATTAATTTTTTTAACCCAAAATCTAATTAATGAATATTCTGGACTAGTATATTTAAGTTCTTCTACAAGATTTATCATAATTTGAATCTTCTTTAGAAATACCTAATACGAGACTTAAATTTTCAATCGCTACTTTATGAAACCCTACATAAATATCTTGATTAACAATATTGGCGTATTTGGATTTGATTTAATTATTTTATCAAGATTTGGTATTATTCTCCTCTTTGTAAACAAGATGAAATGTCAAAAAATAAAACTTAGTCATTCCTTAATAAACTGTTGATAAATATTACTACGTTTTACTTAAAATTGGTCCGATTCCTATAAATGTACTATATGGTTCATGAAGCTCAACATATCCACCAGGTTTTGTACTGAAATGATTAGGTATAAGTTATATTTATTTTATTTATTTGACATATACAGTACATGTATTTTTATGGTTATAAAAAATTAATATTTATTTATTTATTATTGAGTAATGATAAAGTCCCATTGATCTACTTTAATAACATTTGAACCATGTATAGTACAAAATCAAATTCGTTATCAGGGAACGGTAATCCATCAAATATATCCGCATTTTATAAGACCGTTTTATCTAATTAAATTGTTTTTTATATTAATTATTATACCTTCTAGTTAGTTCAAATTTCTTAATTGTCACATTACGCGCGCGTTACTTACCTTATCAGTTATTTGGATAGGTATATTGAATTATTATTAAGTCCATAAAATAAAGATTTTTCATATTTATTTGCAGGATCCAACAACCAAGTTCCGGATCCGCATCTTATTTAAAAAATTACTCTTAAAAAAAAAAAAACTTAAAAAAAGTTATTTATATATTTATTTAATTTAACTTACCCAATATCTAATACTTACATCTTCCTTGCATTAATTTTTTTTTCAATTGGAGAAGAAGACATAGCCAATTCCTCCTTTAGAATTAGCAGACTTTATCATAACAAAGTAGTTAGTTATTTGTCAATTAATAATAATATGCGTAGTATCAAAAAAAAAAAAAATAAAAAAAAAAGAAGAAAATTGGCGTATACAAGAAGGTAATGAGTTATAAAGGAGAAAAGAATATTAAAGGAAAAGAACGATTAAGATTAAAGATTAAATTAAGGGATAAATGACGTAGTATAAAAAAGGTCGCGAATATGTATAATTGATAATTATACGATAATTATTAAAAAGGAGTGAAAATAGAGAAGGAATTTAAATTAGAAAAATAATTATAAAAATATGAGAATGATATCAAATATAAATAATATTAAATTATTCAGCAAGGATCTTTTTTATAATTTTTTCTTTTAATCTTTTCGATCGACATACAAGTAAGGTATGCACATTTTCACTGATTTTCTTATAGTTGGGCGGATATTTTTTGTTCAGTAATAGTTTTATATAATTAATGAAAATATTATAGAACGTAAGTTATTTTATCCACGGGGCACTTATTCTGGAAAGTAGCATAATAAATATTCCATTGGAAAAAAGTAATTTTGTACTGCGCAACTGCGGATACAATTGCAGTCTCTGTGTTTTTATTTAACCTTCAATTTAGGAAATAAACCGCTACATCTTGCTGCAGGTGATTTTCGCACATAAAATTTTATAAATTTGATAAAAAATTAGTGTAAATGCGAATAATCAAATTAGTAAAACTACTAATAAATTAAAATAAAGATTGAAGTTTGTATCTTTTTTTTTACTATATAATACCCGATACAATATACTGTATACCGATATTAGCTTATAATGATATTTTTTATTTTCCCGTTTCACAATTTCATATACCGATCAATACTATAATGTTAGTCTAGTTAACAATGTATAACTTGGAATTTAAGACCAATTTTCTTGCAAAAATAAATCTTACTAAATGAGCTTGTACTGAATTTTATTTAGCATAATGCGGACCAAAATTAGATGCGTGACCAGTATTACAATCTACTAATAGTCATTATATACCGATCGATAATTTGATATACCGCATACTTTTTCCCATGTCGATATATTTGACAACATTTATATATGTAAATTTACGAGTAGAACAAGATTTTCTTAAGAAGACAGTTATCAAATATTCTGAGAAAAATACGAAAACTATACTGAAGTGTAAAATCACCATGTTAAATAATATCGCGTTTTAAAATTATAATTCAAAACTTTAATTTTTTTTTAGAATCCAAAAAAAAAATAATCTATATAAATACGAATTAAAATTTCTTAAATTTTTAATTATATCGAATTCTTTATTCCTTGACGTAACGTTCATGTGTGTTATTATTAGTAGTAATTTATAATATTTTGTTTATGACAGAAATCTCCAGATCCCAATAATTAATATTTTCATTTATTTAATCCTGCCGCCATTAAGGTATATAAAAACTATAAGTAAAATAAACTTTTTTATAAGGTAATCAAAATTCCCTATTATAATTTTCTATTATTAAAGTATGAAGTATAAAAAAATCATGATATTCCGCTATTTTTATATGACAATTAACGTCTTATGACTATTCTTTACATAAATATTCATTTGCCTTAAAAATTCTATATTAATACATAAAAATTTAATTGTAAGTTAAAAAATAATTTGCACTAATAAAAAGATTCGTGACTTCGAATGACTGCGTGGCTTGTTTTGGTAAAATATGATTTTTACTTTACTATTATTATGGTTGTTATTCCAATAATTGTTTTTTTGTCCAAAATCTGAAATGAACACACTCAGCGCTAGTTAGTTTAAATTCGTCAACTAGGTTTTCCACCATATTTTTGTGTTCTTCTTCAGAAATTCCCAATTCCTCATTTAAAACTTTAGTTCTCAATTCTGATTTAAGTTAAGAAAAAGTCAAATCTTGAAAAACTAAACCAACTTTACAACCATTGGACCTAAAATAAAATCTTTTTCAATTCGATGAACTTCTCCTACGTTTGGTTGTAATTCAAATTTTGAATCTAGATTATAAGCCAATTTAACATCAATATTTTGTATTAAATATGTTGACCAAACTATAATTAGTTATATTTTATGGAAAGTGAAATTAATAACTTATAATACACATAATACATGAATTAAGATTAAATGAAAGCAATTAATATAATTACTTGCATCCGTTAATTTACGAAAAATTGAACCATCACCAACATAATCATTACGTCTACCAGCTACTTCAATACATCCGCCTGGTTTCGTTACTCTAAAAAAAATTATACAGATCAGTGAACGTAATTTACAAAAGCAAAACACGTCTTACACATGTCGATAATAATTAAGAAATACCTAACGAGCTCAGAAAGAATAAAATCCCACTGATCTGGATAACGAATTTGATTTTACACATTTAGACAATATGAGCTTCATGAAATGATAATCTACTAGTTACATCGGCTTCGATGAATTCAAGATTATGTGGTTTTATCTATTAAATTTTATAGAAAAAGGGTCAAAAAATTTCGGTTTTTTTCTTCATAATAAATAAAATTTATAAATTTTATTACCACTTGTGGATATATTGGTTTAATATCAACTCCATAAAAATAAGAATTTTCATATTTGTTTGATAAATCCAACAACCACGTCGCAGCAATAACTATACGTATCATAAAATTCCTTGAATATTAAATATATTCACTTGAACGATATCACTTACTCGACATCTAAAACCTTGCACTAATTTATCCTCAACTGCTGGGGAAGAAAATCACTTTGAAATATATATACTCTAAGAAAATGATATATATGTAATCTATCAATAGAATCGATACTAGTCGATAAATAATATTTCATTAACTTTTCATTTCTTTCTTGGTCTGATTCTATTTGATCAAATTCTGCCCTATAAAAAATTTTATCCGTTATTTCTAGCCTTTCACGGATCCATTCACAGAAAATGTAAATGATTTGATAAATTCTGTGATATAAGGTTATTAATTCCGGAAATATGAGCCTTTTACGGAAAAAAGACGGAATATAAAAAACGGACCAACTTTTTTTACAGGACTGGTATTTTTTTATTGATGGCCGATTATGTTTTAAATGTGATTTGATATTACCCATGATTTTAGTTTAACTGTTAAATGAGATAATTTTTATTTATTTATTAAGGGGTTTTTTTCTTCGCCAGTAATAAAGGTTTTATCTATTTATATGAATTTAATGATTCGACAGTTTAATTTGAATTATGCATTATATAATAATTTGTCAGCGATAAAAAGCCATACGGATGTTTGTGTTACTAAACCTTTATGCTTTCGCAAAGTTAAGTAATGTGAATTTATCAACAACAGAGGAATTTCTTGGCATGTCGCGCGCGTAAAGTAAATCTTTACGAAATCTGTGAATCTGTGATTATGTGATATTTACGATTTTCAGAAATTTATAATCTTGAAATTTAGCAACAAACATAACAAATATTAAAAAAATTGTCACGTATTTGTTTTATTATACCTTATAAAAAATTTATTCCGTGTTTTTTTTTTATTCCATGTTATTTCCGTAAATGTTTCATATTCAGGAAATTATCGATTTTTAGTTATTTTTTCCGTGAATGTATCATACTCACAGGGTTTTTACAGAATTACGGATAAAATTTTTAAGATGTAATAATCATTCATGTATAATTATTAAAAAAAAATTTTTAATCTATTTCCAAAATTTTTAATTGGTTAAATTGGGTGCCGTCCAAAATCATGAAACTCAAAATCCCGACAGGCAAAATCTCGAAACTCAAAATCCCGAAACTCAAATCCCGAAATCCAAAATCCCGACAGGTAAGAATTCCTTACATACTCATGTACTTATTAAGAAAATATTATGCTTTTATGAAATTTTTTTTTTTTTTATCTTAATAAACAAAAAATTTTCCGATTGGCAGATTCGTATTTTTTATTCTTTTTATTGATGCTTTGACTTAATGAATTGTTTATAGGGCCATCCAAATGATCCAATGTCGTCCAATGATTAAAGGAAATCAATCGGTTGTACAGTTTTTTTCCATCTACGATTCAGTCTTTAACTGCAGATTTACATTTTTTTTTCGGATTACGTAAAATAATGTTGTAATCAATTAATTTAATTTATTTATTTATTTATTTTTTATGATCTTAATGACGATTACCATTATTATAATTTTTCATATAAACAATTTAGGAAATTTGTATCACAGATTATTATTAAGAAATACAAATATGCAATAAATTTTTTTACGTAAGTACTTAGTCATCTTCTTAGAACAATAATAATATTATAATATTTTCTAATAAACCCATAAATATTTTATTTACTATAATTCTACCGTACCGCACTGCACATGCACATAATACCCGGGTATTATACAAAATACCGATTTAAAAATTATATAATACCCGCGGGTACTTTGTGAGATACCGGGTATTGTATGGGGTACATAATAGTTTTAACCAGAATTAAGCTAAAATTACCAGAATTAGGGGGGGTACTAATTGAGAGCAAAAATTTTTATATCTAGTAAAATACCCTACGTGTGGGGTACTAACTTTGGGGATACTATAGGCGGTACGGTACGGTAATTACAGAATTAAGCATCAAGAGGTTTTATTTTTTTTAAATGATATGATATAATTTGATTAAATTACATTTCTGTATACAAAATTATTAAAATTATAAAAATTAACGAAACAGGGATACCAACTGATCTATCGAAGAAATTAACGTATTATTTATCAGACGATAATAGCGATAGTTAAAAATAATTGGATTTCTTTAAATATAACAAAACATGGCCTGATACAATAATTATCAAATACTTTTAATAATATAAGTAAAAAAAAATTGAATTTTTTATTTGGGAGCTGACCCAAAAATTATACGGAGAAAAGATATTTGCAATATGGAACGGTCTAGACTCTAGACTATGTTAATTGATCAGCAAATAAATTGTCTTCATATATGGCATTTGACATTTGCACGACATTGCTTTATGTATACTAATTACGAAATGACGAAATGACGAAATGTGAACAGAATTTGTGTAACCTTGACTTCACATTTAAATCACATCATACATAACAAAAGTTCATCGTTCATAAAGCATGTTCAATATATAGTATGTATATTGACAAGAAAATCAATATTTACGTTTAAAATGAAACATAAATTTATTATGATTAAGTTAAATTGTTTGTCCCTGTTGGTGTGAATGATCCGAGTCACCAACATCTCTATAGGTATATTACTTGGACGGGCTTCGTAAAAACAAAGATTTTTTTTTTTAGAATTTAATAAAGTGGATTAAGTTTACGAAATATTTAATTGTCGTTATTGCACTACGCATACCTATTATGCAAACGTTTATAAATATAATTTATCGCTTGGGGTCTGGTTCATTTCACCGACAATCATTTCACCGACAAACGTTTCACCAACAGGGTTATTTCACCGACAAACGTTTCACCGACAATCATTTCGCCGACACCGGAGGGATATTTCGCCGAAAGGTACCATTTCACCGAAAACCTATTTCTCCGAATTCCATTTCGCCGAAGCCATTTTACCGAATGGACATTTCGCCGAATGGACATTTCGCCGAAAAATTATTTATTCCATTTGGTTATTTTATTTGTTTTTATAATAAATACATAAAAAAATCATTTCTAGATAAATTTTGAATTAGCTGATTTTTATTAAATTTACCTCGTTGTTTATAATATACGCTAAACTTTTTTTTTACTTATTTTTCGTGAATAAATGTTTTCAAGAGAATAAAATTATTTATTTATTGCTTAACAAATATCAGTTACTTGAATGTTGAAGTAATAATATCCTGGAAAAAAAAATCTCTATAATTAATTTAATTTTTATTTTCATTGTGCGATGAATTTTTTTTATAAAAATGTTAATCGCTACGAAATGTCCATTAGGCGAAATGGAATTCGGTGAAATGGAATTCGTAATAAAAAAAATTGAATCATTATTATTACGATAATTTTTGCGTCCAAATCCTAACATAAATACTTTCAGAACAAGATTGTTTAAATTCTTCAAGTAGATCTTTTTCTATCATATTTTTGTATTCTTCTTTAGAAACTCCCATTTCTTCACTCAGAGTTTTAACTAACGGTTCTGCTTTGAAATAACCCAAGGCCAGATCTTGAGCAATCATACCAATTTTACCACCATTAGGTCCTATAACAAAATTTTCTTCAGTTCGATGAACATTTCCTAGATTCGATTGTAACTCAAATTTTGATTTCAGATTATAAATCAAATTTGTATCTAAATTTCGTCTTGAACCACTTGCATAAACTTATAATTATGGAAAATAAAAAATAAATAAGTATCTTGTAATACATTTAATACATGAAATTAATATTACAAGAAATGAATATAATTACTTGTATCCATAATTTTACAAAAAATCGGAGCTCTGACAACATTTTCTCTACGTCTACCAGATACTTCAATATATCCACCTGGTTTCGTTACTCTAAAAAAGAAAAAAAGAATATTATTATTTAAACATTAGCAAAAACATAATAATAATAATAATAATAACAATAATAAAAGAAATACCTAATGAGCTCAGTAAGAATGAAATCCCATTGATCTACTGTATAAAAAAGTCTCAATAATTCTATATGTGTAAAATCAAATTCATTATCACCAAACGATAATCCATTAGATATACTCGCTTTGATAAATTCAACATTATTTGGTTTTATCTATCAATTTATATAAAAATAAAGGGTCAAATTTTTTATTTAATTTAATAAATAAAATTTCATAAATTTTCTTACTTCTTGTGGAAATATTGGTTCAATATCAATTCCTACGAAATTAGAATTGTCGTATTTGCTTGATAAATCTAATAACCATGTACCAGGGCCGCACCTTAAAAAATTTTCAAATAAATATGTGTATCATAAAAAATTTCCACTTAAAAGATGACTTACCCAATTTCTAAAACCTTATACTCTCCTTTAATTAATTTATCCTCAATCGGGGAAGAAAAATTACTTTGAAATATATGTTGTTTAAGAAAATGAAACACATGAAATCTATCAATAGAATCGGTATCATTCGAGAAATAATATTCTAATAACTTTTCATGTCTTTCTTTTTCTGACTCTATTTGGTTAAATTCTTGTATATTTTTTATCACTAATTGTTCTTGTTTTGAATGTGAATTTTTATTACCCATAGTTTTACGAATAAAATATTGTAAAGTGAAATTATTATTCTATAAAATTTTTTTTTCGAAGTAGAACAAAGAAAAAGGGTCCTGTCAACCTTAATTAAAACATTAAATGATTTACCATGTATGACAGTTTATAATAATGTATAACAAATAAAACGCGAGACATTCTATGGACGACTGGACGTTTGTGTGACCAAATCTTTAAGCCATTATGTTACAATTTGTTGATCCAATGAACCTGCATATTGTTTTGCTGATTCCAAGATTTTCATCTAATATTAATCATTGTATTTAACATCATTTATTGATTTTTATAATAAAATAATTTAAAATCAAAGTGACAAACGACAATCATACCAATTTAATTATCTGTTTAGATTCCTCCTCCCCCCGAATTTTTCAAATAATTGGAAAAAATACTCATGTGATCAAAAATACAGCCAATCAAAACGTTTAATATTACTTAAGTGTTTTGTAACTGTGCCTCAAAATTTACAGGAAAATTATTAGTCATCCAATATGCAATTATTTGTAATAAGAATGTGAAAATCATTTTATTAATGGGTTAATAGAAAACCAAAAATTAATCATAAATTAAATTAGCTTTTTCTCCGTTATAAAATAGGTTCAGTCTAAATTTAAGAACTAGCGAAAATTTTTTTTGGTAACCGGATAGCATACAGAACAGAGCAACCTGGGACATTCGGAAAATTTGTAGCCAGTCAGATATTGAAACACGTGACATTTAGACGATCCTTATTTATTATGATGAACGATCGTGTCATCTGTTAAGCTCGATTGGCCCTTAGGGGTTACAATGGTGTCGGTGGGGCACCAACCACCTATGGTGGTTCACCAATTTGTATGGAGCCTTGAAAACATTGCAGTCGACTATTACAGTCTATGTCTATATCTAAAAAAATAAAATAAAATAAAAAAGTCATCTATTTAAGCTAAGATGAGTGATAACCCGACACAGTATTATTTCAAAGAATCTGGAATCAATAAGTAAAACAGGTTATGTATGTAAAACCATTATGTTAAAAGAAAATTTATACGATTGTTTAATATAAATTTCACTTAATATTCGATACATCTAGTTATTAAAATGATTATATATAGTAAAATTAAGTAAATCTTTTTCGTTGGATTTTGTATGTGGGATCTTTTATTGGCTACAAATCTGCTGGTTCCAAATCTACTAAGTGATACTTTATAATATGCGGACATTTGGACGAACGAATAACTTGCCAGATCGTTAAGTTCTGCAAATATAGCTTGAAATGAAAGTCGTACAAAATTGACTAATTACAGTCATTCTCAACGCATGATAACCATATGAGCGACAATTAAATAAAACACATGTGATCAATTCCTGTCAGAAGTCGGTAGATTATGCCATAATAATCTGTTTTTAGTTACTGAAAATGGAAAATTCATCAATAGAGCTTTAGTAGAACTGTAGATGATTTTATTATATCAGCTATCATGTAAAAATCTTACCTGTAATTCCTGTAAAAACTCCGTGAATATGATACATTAAACACGCAATAAACTTTTTATAGGGCTAAAAAAACGAAATAAACTTTTTAAATTTGCAAATGATGAGAGTAGGACCCTATGTAGGGGGTGCATAATTGCGTTGCCAGCATAGAGAAATTTTACGGAGTTAGGCATTGATTTGCGTACAACCTGAGGATTTTTTAGACTATTAAAATGCTTATTTTTAACAGGTTTTTTGTTTAGGTAAGGGTTTATTTTGCGTATTTTTAGTAATTTGGCTGATCATTATATATATATATATTTCATTGAGATAAATATAAATAACTATTAGTGCAAAAAAACTTTATTTAGTGCAAAAAAAATGTGTAATGCTTATGCATTTAATAAATACATTTATATAATTATGTGGCATATAAAGTTATTAAATTTTTTTAAAAATTTTTAAAAAAAAATTATTCTTCGATAAACGTTAAATGTTTGTTTGATCAACAAAAACAATAGGTAAATCACATGATGATCGGTGGTTAGTAAATTAATTTGCGTATTTTTTCCAATTATCCAAAGCAAGGAAATAATTTGCGTATTTTTCCAATTATCCAAAGTAAGGAGGTAATTTTGCGTACTGAACTTAATAGAAAACCCTTGCGTACAGATATTAGTAAAAAGTTCGAAGGCCACCTTACTTTTTTATATATATTTCGGGGTCCTATAGAGTATTTTTTATTTCAATTGCTTTATCATTTTAGAAATTTTATTGATTAACATAATTAATATTCATTTGATAGCGTAAAAATTTAAATCTTATATCGAACAATATATGTCAACTTGCATACGCTTACAGACCGTTTCGGCAGGACAGACATTTTCCCGACAGCCTAACGCTGGCCGCTTGATCACGTGTTCGTGCATAACTATGCATAACATTGGCCAAACCTGTCGGGCAAATGTCCTGTCGGGAAATCATTCGACGCGTAACCTTTGCATATTATGGTACTAAATCTCTAATTACATAAATTTTTATTTTACGAATTAATAGCGTAATAACGATGTGAAAAACAATAATGCATGAAAAGAGAGTGTATCGATTAAATATTTATAATCATAAAAGTAACTTTTTGCTGCAATTGCATGTGGTTTTGTTTAAATTATCTTGTTTGACGTAATTTATTCATAATAGAAAAAAAAAAAAATATTATTATTATTATGTTAATTGTTTTTGAGCCCAAATTCTAACATAAATACTTTCAGAATAAACTTGTTCAAATTCCTCAACTAGATCTTTTTCTATCAATTTTTTGTATTCTTCTTCAGAAACTCCCAATTCCTCAGACAGAAATTTAATTAATATCGGTTCTGATTTTAAAAAAGCTAAAGCCAGTTCTCGAGAAACCAAACCAATTTTGTCACTATTGAGTCCTACAATAATTTTTTTCTCAATTTGATGAACATTTCCTATATTCGGGTGTAACTCAAATTTTGATTCTAGACTATAAATCAAATTTATATCTACATTTCGTTTTAAACCACTTTCATTAACTATAATTATGGGAATAAAAAATTAAGTAACTTGTGATAATGAGTTAATATCAAAAGTAATAAATATAATTACTTGTATCCATTAATTTACGAAGAATTGGAGCTCTTTCAACGTTTTCATTACGTCTATCAGCTACTTCAATATATCCACCTGGTTTCGTTACTCTAAATATTATTTAAAAATTATTAAAAGCAAAATATGTCATATATATGGATCGTATTTCTTTAAAATAATAATAATAATAATAAAAGAAATACCTAATTAGCTCAGAAAGAATGAAATCCCATTTATCTGATGTATAAATAAGTCTCATTAATTCTATATGTGTGAAATCAAATTCATTATCACCAAATAATAACCCGGCAGACACATCAGCTTTGAAAAATTCAACATTATTTGGTTTTATCTGTCAATTTATATAGAAAGATAGGTCAAAATTTTGATTTAATTTAATAAATAATAAAATTCTTCTTACTTCTTGTGGAAACATTAGTTCACTATCAACTCCAAAAAAATAAGAACTTTCATATTTGCTCGATAAATCTAATAACCATGTACCAGGACCGCACCTTAAAAATTTAAAATTATTATTCAAATAAATATATGTATCATAAAAAAATTGTTCATTTGAGTGATATCTTACCCAACATCTAAAACTTTATACCCTCCTCTAATTAAATTTTCCTCAACTGGGGAAGAAAAATTACTTTGAAATATATATTGTCTAAGAAAATGAAAAACATGAAACCTATCAATAGAATCGGTACTAGTCGAGAAATAATATCCCAAAAACTTTTCATGTCTTTCTTGATCTGATTCTATTTGGTTAAATTCTTGTATATTTTTGATTAATGATCGTTCATGTTTTGAACGTGAATTTTTATTACCCATTATTTAAAAAAAATAAAATACTTTAAGGTGAAATTATCCTATAAAAATTTTTTATATTAATTATCCGTCAAGAACAAAAAAAAGGGGTACAATTTAAGGAAATATTAAATGATCTACCATGTATGACGATTTAAAAATAATGTACAACAAATAAACGCGAAACTTCAATGGACGAATAGACGATTGTGTTACAAATCTTCAAACTATTAAGTTACCATAATGCTCATTATACTCTCTAAAAAACAATTTGTTGATCTCAATTAATCTGCATATTATTTTGCCGATTTGGGTAACAGTTTTAAAAAAAATAACTTGTAAATCAGTCAAGATTTTCATCTTTCTTCCGAGATTAACGAGATTTTTCTTAGATTGCTTCTAAAGGAAGAAATACTCTTCCGAAAATCTTATCAATTTAAGTTTTCATTGTTATTAGTATATCAATTGTTGATTTCATATAAAATAAAAATGATAAATGACAACTATATTAAACTAAATTAATTTAATTCTTTTTTTTATTTTTTTAATAATATCTATACTTAATAAAGAACTAAAAATGGCTATAGATAATCTGTCTTTGATTGAACACACAAACTATCTGTATACCTTAATCATTAATGCTGGCCGGTATTAAAATCACGTGACACCGCATTTGAGTTTTTTTTTAACCCGCAAAAATGTGAATAAGGATTATCCGACGGCTTAATCCGGATTTATCCGTGACGGATGTCCCAGAAATATATAATAAGGGTCAGGTGGTCTTTGAACTTCTTACTAATAGCTGTACGCAGGGGAGTTTCCATAAAAATATACAAATAAAATTTCAGACCTTAAATTTTTTATTTATATATTTATTATATGTTTGTACTTCCATAATTTATTAAATCTACTTTTCACCACATACAATTAAATTTAATATAACAATACAGTACATCATTGCATCAATACATCATGATCGGTATTAAAATCTTTAGAAAACAACTTTAATATTATATTAAGAAACTAAATAAATAATAGATATTGGTTAGGGTGTTATTACGCAGACGTCCAAAAGTTAATATGTGTGATATTTAATCTAATGATGCGTCAAAAATATCAAAGATATTAATTCGTACATATTAAGATTTTTTAATAAAAATAGTATGCAATATGATTGATCCTGAATACAGAATAAACAAAAAATTCCTAAACTGTACGCAAATCAAAACCTTACTATGATGGTAGACCTTACCCTATATATATTTTCTGGGTCATGATGTATCCGGAAAATTATCCGTTATCTGGGTTCGGGTATAAGATGGATTATCCGGATGGACGATCGTTTCAACAATTATTGTTAACACAATTTATTACTATTATACTGCCCAGAACATAAACTATTGAATCATCAAATTTGTATTATTAAATTCTTGTTCTACATCCTTTTACTTATACGATTTCGAATCGATGAATATAGTATGTCAACTTGCATATAATGGTACCATCTCTTTAATTACATAAATTTTTTCACGAATAAATAGCGTGATAATAATGCGCATCGATTAAAAGATTTATAATCATAAAGTAACTTCTTGCTGCAATTGCTATGGGGTTTGTTTAAAATTATCTTGTTTGACGTAATTTATTCATAATAAAAGAAAAAATGAATTATCATAATTACATTAATTGTTTTTGCGCCCAAATCCTAACATAAATACTTTCAGAACAAGATTGTTCGAATTCTTCGGTTAGATCTTTTTCTATCATACTTTTGTATTCTTCTTCAGAAATTCCCATTTCCTCAGGCAGAATTTTACTTAACGGTCCTGTTTTGAAATGAGTTAAAGCCAGATCTTGAGTAATCAAACCAATTTTATCACCATTGGGTCCTATAATAAATTTTTTTTCAATTCGATGAACATTTTCTATATTCGGATGCAACTCAAATTTTGATTCTAGATTATAAATCAAATTTACATCTAAATTTCGTTTTGTACCACTTATATTAACTATAATTATGGAAAATAAAAATAAGTACTAACTTGTAATACACTTAATACATGAAATTAATATTAAAAGCAATGAATATAATTACCTATATCCATCAATTTACTATAAATCGGAGCTCTTACAACATCTTCATTACGTCTACCAGATACTTCAATATATCCACCTGGTTTCGTTACTCTAAAAAAAAAAAATAATATAATATTATTTAAAAATTGGCAGAAGCAAAACATGATATAGATATGTGGATTGTATTTTTCTTTAAAAAAAAAATTTAATAATAAAAGAAATACCTAATGAACTCAGAAAAAATGAAATCCCATTTATCTGATGTATAAATAAGTCTCATTAATTCTATATGTGTAAAATCAAATTCATTATCACCAAATGATAATCCATTAGATACATCGGCTTCAATAAATTTAACATTATTTGGTTTTATCTATCAATTTATATGAAAAGAAAGGGTCAAATTTTTGATTTAATTTAATAAATAAAATTTCATAAATTTTCTTACTTCATGTGGAAACATTGGTTCAACATCAATTCCAATAAAGTTAGAATTTGCATGTTTGCTTGATAAATCTAATGACCATGTACCAGGGCCGCACCTTAAAAAATTTAAATAATCATTCAAATAAATATGAGTATCATAAAAAATATTTACTTGAAAGATTAACTTACCCAATATCTAAAACTTTATACCCTCCTTCAATTAATTTATCTTCAATTGGGGAAGAAAAATTACTTTGAAATACATGTTGTCTAAGAAAATGAAATACATGAAGTCTATCCATAAAATCGGTATCATTCGAGAAATAATATTCCAATAACTTTTCATGTCTTTCTTGATCTGATTCTATTTGGTTAAATTCTTGTATATTTTTGATTACTGATCGTTCATGTTTTGAACGTGAATTTTTATTACCCATGGTTTAAAAAATAAAGCATGTAAGGTGAAAATTATTGTATAAAATTTTTTCTACCAATTTAATAGAAAAACAAATGATCTACATGCCGATCTACAATAATGTATAACAAATAAAACGCGAGACTTTCTATGGACGACTGGACGTTGTGTTACCAAATATTCAAGCCATTAAGTCCTTTAAAAAACAGTTGCTAATCCAAAATTCTGTTTTGTAACATTTTTAAAAATAATCCGAGGTACTGTTATGTCTGGATTTTCATCTCATTTTTCTTAAATTGTATAAAAAATTTATTCCGTGTTTTTTTATTCCATGTTATTTCCATAAATGTATCGCATTCCCGGAATTAATAGTCTCAAAACAAGGAAATATATAAGTTGCTTAGGTTTTTAGTTATTTTTTCCGTAAATGTATCATATTCACGGAGTTTTTACAGAAATTACGGATAAAATTTTTTACAGGGATCCAAAGGAAGAAGTACCCCTCCTAAAATCTTATCAATTTAAGTTTTCATTTTAATTAGTATATCAATTATTGATTTTCATAATTAAAATAAATAGAATAAAATAGCGACAAATAACAACCCTACTAAGATTTAAGAATTAGCGATTGTATCTGATTAGCATCCGGATAAAGAATCCGCCACCGATAAGAATATTTAATATATTCGGGTAATCACCATTCACCTTTTGGTAAGTCATTTTTGTAGATGCTTAGGACATCGGAATCGGAAAAAATGTAGCCGGTCAACGTGATATTTAGCCACGTTATTATTTAACAAAAAATAGATGAGCAAGAACATCAAGAAACCACGACGTGTCATCAAAAAATTCTAGTTACAGAATTATTTAAAGAAACCAGAATAATCTGGAATTAATAAAATAAACCAGTTAAATGCAAGACATTATGTAAAAAGAATATGCTTTATAAACAGCGGATAAATAATAGGAAATTTTCCGGTTAATATAAATTCTACTTAATATTCAGTTCGCAATAGCTATTGAAAATAAATAATAATGATTATATTTAATATAGTAAAATTAAGTAAAAATTGTAATTTAATTTTTTTTTTAGTAAATTATTATTGGATTTGTATGCGAGATCTTTTATAGGCTACAATCTGCTAAGTGTCCCGTTACAATAAATCCATACATTTGTAGCTGAAAACTTGCCAGATCGTCAAAGTTGTCGTAAATAGAAAAACTCTTTACAATTTTAAAATAAAATGTAATATGTAAAAATAAAAAGAATATTATATTATAAAAAGATATAAATTTGAAACTAATTTTTAATATTCGATGCCTGCTCTGGTAACTGTATCTGTTTCTCCTGAACACCACGTAGAGACTTCAAGTTAAAAAATAATGAATAAGAGTTAACCAGGGTTTATCATTCTATGATAATATCTGATTAGGCAATACAGTATCCTTCGCCGAAGGGATGTTTCACCGAAGGATGTTTCGCCGAAAGGACATTTCACCGAAAGTGCATTTCATGGAATCCATTTCATCGAATAGTCCATTTCACCGAATTCCATTTCGCCGAATGGACATATCGTCGAAGATGACATTTTTATAAAAAATATTCATCGCGCAATACAAATAAAAAAATAAGGTATTGCTAAACGGTTCCTTAATGCAAGTGTATTACTCCTAAAATCAGGCCAGTTCGTACGTTAATATCGAACACCCCCATTGTACGTTAAGGACGCCCATTGCTTATCATGTAATGCCGGCCAGTGTTTTGTTAGATTTTTAATTCTGGCCAAAAGTACTAGTATGGTGATCATCCACACAGGTGAGCTTTTAGCAATTTTCTAAAAATAATTTTATCTTTTTTTTCAGGATATTATCACTTTAACATTTAGCAATAAACATTTTCCTGAAAACATTTATTAACGAAAAAGTAAATAAAAAAAAAGATTAATGTATTTATTATAAACAATGAGATAAATTTAATAAAAATCATCTAATTCAAAAATTTAGTATACAGTATAAACAATAAAATAACCGAATGGAACAAACAATTTTTCGGCGAAATGTTCATTCGGCAAAATATCCATTCGGCGAAATGTCCATTCGGTAAAATGGCTTCAGCGAAATGAAATTCGGTGAAATGGAGTTTCAGTGAAATGGCATTTCGGCGAAACATCCCTTCGGCGAAATGGATATCGGCGAAAAGTCCTGATACCCTAAAAAAGTACAATCACATGCTTTTTCATCATTTTAAGTTTTTTTCATTTTTTGTCTGTCATTTTTTTTTAGTTAACCATCTTTTATTATCTTTTATCCCACATCTTTTGTTATTTCGACTATTGTTGCTGGTGAAACTACTTTTAAAATCCAGAACATTTCGCCCAGTGAACTTCCTATAAGTCCGAAACTATCCGAAACCTCCGAAACCCTAATTTGGAGAGATCAAATTGGGCGAAATTATTTTCGTCCGCAAATTTCGATTTATCCTCTTTTTATTACATTTCGCTGTCTTACTTCATTTATTTCACTGTTTACTATTCCTTTTTTTAACATTAACTTCACCCCTTCTTTTATGTTATTTTTTTTCTCTTTTTTTATTTTATCTTTATCTCGCTTTTTTCTTTTTTTTGCAGCTTCTTTCTTTAATGTTTATTTTTTTAGTTTTATCTCGCCATTTTTTTTTCACTTCGTTTGCTTTTTGGTCGTGCCCATTTCTATATTTCATCTTTTTTGGTCATTTTTTTCCGCCTTTTATTATCTATTTTATTTTATTTCCTTACAATTTTATTTAATACAAGACCGTCAGATAAGGAGCAAAGAAATTTTGAAAGAAATACTTTTCATAGTTCATACATAAAATCAAGATTTTAAATTTGGGTATTTAAATATCATATAATGCGAATCAAACCTCATTCAATTTCACTGGCTTATATATGTTTGTTTTCGTTTGCAAAAATTATACTGAAATTTATTTAACGTGAAAAATAATACTAAGCATATTATATATACTTCCATATCTAAATAAATTTTCATTGGCCATATAAATTTTTATCAACCAAAATGTATACTGTATATATATCATTAAAAATTTTTTTTTTTTTAATGTACTTGTGCCTTTCATTAAAAAATCAATATGTTTAGAGATTTATTAGATTATTACTAAATTATCGGCAGAGTGAGCAGATAATAAAATTTGGAACTCTTTAAGAATTAAAGTTTATTTTATTCATGATATTCCAATTCAAGTTAACAATTTAATAAAATATTTATATATCCTAAAATATTAAACCTTTTAATATATAAATTCTTAACGTTTTTCCCTACACTCGATTTGGGTTTACCACGAAATCCCGACAAGCACAATCCCGATATGATAAAATCCCGAGGCACGTATTCCTAACAGAGACAATATACTGAACGATCAAAATCCCGAAAGTATCAAAATTCCTGAAAGTTCAAGTTACTGATGAGTCAAAATCCCGACACAATATTATAATTTTGAGTATCTCTTTGATTTTTGTTTACTAGGAAGATCATTTCCTACTGATTATATAATTTGCGACAATTAATACAATCATATATACAATACATATGCACTATTTCCAATTTAAATGATAAAAAATTGCAATTTTGATTTATGACTTACATGTTACAG